CAGCAGCAGTTCCCATGCCCACGCCTCTCAGGCCACGGTTGGAGAAATGGAATCTTCCCTCTACGTTAGGATAGTGCTTCATTCCAAAAAAAAAAAAAAAATCCTTTTTAGGGCCAATTCCCAAGTCTAAGTGACGAGAACAGACAGTAAAGTCGAGTCCCCCCAGCAGTTCTTGAAAAACGCACTGGGAATGCTCAGGGTTTACGGGCCGAAGCCTTAATTCAAAGAAACAAACAAACAAACAAGCCCGACGCGAAACATTACACACATCAATGCAAACAAAGAAAATAATGCAAAGGGGCACCTGACTGTGAGCGCGCAAACCAGTGGCCCTGCGAGGGAGGCAACCTGTGCACTGGACACACCAGGACCCCTCTCGGCAGCTCTTTGTTCCCTGTGTCACCTCACTCCAGGCCCCAAGTCACGAGGGTCATGCTCCAGCAGAGGCGCTCCTCCAGCCAAAGAGGGAGGCTCTGACGAAACCCGTGCAGACAAATTCTCGTGCCTGTGGTGGACGGAATCATGTATTCCTAAAAGATATGTTCACTGGGAGGCCAAGGCAGGAGGATCACTTGAGCCCAGAAGTTCAAGACCAGCCTGGGAAACATAGTGAGACCCCTTTGCTACCAACATAAATAAATAACGAAATAAGCTAGGTGTGGTGGCTTGTGCCTGAGGATGTAGAGCACACCACTGCACTCTAGTCTAAAAAAAGAAAGGTATAATCAAAGCCTAACCCCCGGGACCTGTGAGTGTGACGTTGTTTGGAAATAGGGTCTTTACAAGATGTGCTCAGGTTAAGATGAGGTGATACTAGGTTAGGGCAGACTCTGCTCCAGTGACCCGTATCCTTATTTGAAGGTCATATGAAGACCAGACCCAGGAGGGGAGAATGCCAGGAGACAATGGAGGCAGAGGCCGGAGCGACACATCTATGAGCCGGGGGACACCAGGGCCGGCCTGCAGCAGCAGAGGCTGAGAGAGGCAGGAATGACCCTCCTGCCTCGCCTGCAGCAGGTGTCCGGCCCTCCAGGGGCCTTGATTTTAGACTTCCAGCCTCCAGAACTGTAAGACAGTGAATTTCTATCATTTTAAGCCATCCAGTTTGTGGCAATTTGTTATGGCAGCCTTGGGAAATTGATACATAGCCCAGTTGGGCTGTTTTGGTGGGTTTCAACATGTTAAAATTTGTATTTAGGGCCAGGCATGCTGGCTTATGCCTGTAATCCCATCGCTTTGGGAGGCTGAGGCGGGCAGATCACGAGGTCAGGAGATTGAGACCATCCTGGCCAACATGGTGAAATTCTGTCTCTACTAAAAATACAAAAATGAGCTGGGCATGGTGGTGCACACCTGTAGTCCCAGCTACTCGGGAGGCTGAGGCAGGAGAATCACTTGAACCCAGGAGGCAGAGGTTGCAG